GTGTAACTGGAGTGTAAGGGGCCAGTTACACAGACGGTCGGTCACCAATCGGTCATTTAATTTTAAATTTACTCGCTGTTATGATCGGTTGTCATGCGTGATTTTATTTCTGTTTTTCTGTGTAAACGGCCATCGGTGACAGAAAGCAAACTCAAACGGGTTTGTGTCGGTGATAAAAATGCTGAAATACTATCAGTTTTTATCGTTTGTAAATCGGAGCTAAATCTGGCGTAACGCTGATTAATCGGTGTTTGATAGCTAGTCATCAGTGGTTAAACAGTTTCCGTCAGATATGGCCGGTGATTCATATTTGGTTATCTTTGTCCGATCGGCGATATCGGTGATTTAGAGCTTGCATATCTCGTAATATAGGTTGCTGTCGGTTATTTGTAAAATATTGTCACCGATTGAGAATTTTAAGCATGTTTAAAAATCCCAATCGGTAATTTTTCACCGATGAAACTTATCTTTCCCCAATAGCAGTTGATAGGTGAAAAACAGGTGACCAATAGGTGATATCGGTGTTAAATACATTGTCATCGGTTCACTCCATAATTTGGCTAAAAAAACTACCGATCAATCACCGATGGCTCTGTGTAAAAATAGGGTGTAAGGTTGTAATAAGAAGAATGTTATGATGGTGTAGATTTATTACCCAATTTCTCTAAAGGCGAGCATGATATAATATTACTGTTTTTTTTCTAACTACAAGTATGTATTCAAAGTTAAAATACTTGCATATGATATTCATTAAATTAACATATTTGTATTTTTGTAACTTATATTAAGTTTGATGCACTGCTATTTTGTATCTTTATTGGAAGAACACCTAAATATCTAATCTTATAAAATTTTAAAATTATGTTAGACGGTCAACTTACACGGAAGAAAAAAATACACGGATTAGGGATATAACATATTTCTACAGTTACCTGTAATTCTAGCATTTGTAAATATGAATAAGAGGAAATTGATATCCATGTATAGTAATGTATTTCTAGTGTTCATACCTTATATGTTTGCGTTGGAAAGATATATGGACTTTTATACGTTGCCTATTTAAAGATATGCTATGCTCATCCTTGCGTATAATATTTTAATTAAAGAAATTTATCAAAATCTATGAAATTCTTACCAAATATGTCTAATTTGAATACAAAATTAATAAATTATGCATCGGAAGCAGTGTTCCCTAATGCCAGTTTTTTGTTTGATTTTTATTAATGACACTGTATGTTCATATTGTAACCACATATAGTGTTTAGAATTTTAAACGCAACTTATCGGCTTTGTTTAAAGTCAAAACAGGTTTATTTTATATTAACAAAGAGACTGTGTAGCAACTATAAATATTTTCAAATATCAAATTTGAGCATAGCATATATTTTAATAACTTGTGGACTTTACATTGACACAGATGTCTTCGCTGTTGTTGTTGTTTGTATGTTTGTTGTTGTTGCTCTTTTAATTATTTTATTTTTCGTTTTTTTTTTTTTTTAATTCATTTATTTATTTTTTGGGGGAGGGGATGGGGGCTGATAGCAGACCTAAAGGACACATTTTTTTTATAATTTCAGGCTTGAATAGCTGGAAAGTCTCCTAAATTGATAGAATATGACACACAGTCTATCAGAGACAGATCGAGTTATAAAACAACGGCACGTATATACTGTTGCATGCATCGATTATTTTGATAGCAAATTTATAAAAGTATTATCTTACGATAAGAGTCAATGGTTGTAAAAGTTCACACGGAAGTACAATTTGGAATGGGTGGTTTGTACCTTACAGCTGGTAGTGAACAAAATATCCAAATCAATTCAAAATCTTGCAACTTTTTGCACTTGTGTTAGTGCTGTTGTTAGCACGAGTACAATTTCTGTTGTTAACGAAATTGTTGTTTCTGTTGTTTACACTAGTTCTGTTATTAACATCAGAGAAACGTGTCTATTTCTTCATTCAAAATTATAAGTTTCCGCCCTCTTTTCGACACGGCAAAATATATCCCGATTTCACCCAGTATTAAATAGTCCCAAAAAGGCAGACTTTAGGACTTTTTAGTACTTAAATAAGTTTTCTCCACAATTATACTACTGGTAAGAAAATGATACAATAAATCATACCATACAGGAATAATGTATAGAATTGTAATGTAATAGCCTCATTTATGTCATCTGAAATAGAACTGTAAAATTATTTTAATTTGGGTATTTTACTCAAATATTTTTGCAAAATATTCAGAAGTCGTATATGATTGTTATGGAAAACATGTATCAAAAATTGTTGCCCCTATTCGTAAAGAAATGGCTGCCAGCATGTCCTTATTAAAAAATTTCATCAGCCTGAAAGTTACTTTTTGCATTCGACTTACAAGAATATCTAGTAGTGCATGTATATTGTCAGCAAAACCCTTAAGGATCAGCGTTTAATGAAAACATGTTGGTAAAGTATAATAAAGTCTAGCTAGTTATTCACAAATGTGCACTTTTATTTTTGAAAAAAAATAACAATGTCGCAATACATCAATCTAAAACTACGTCAACAAACAAAGAAGAAGAAAAATAGAATGATATTTTGCAAACATCTTCAAAAACACAGCTACAAGCGAAAAATAAAACTCTCACTTTGGTTCAATCTGTCTGTAAGCTAGGCTTATAAATCTTGGAAACTCATTGAATTGAATACTTTTTAAGGTCGTTTTATTTTGTGTGCATTTGTACGTAATTACTACTTGATTTCAACAGTACTAATATCTTTAAGTATATCTGTTTGATAACCATAAATGTAATATTTGAGTTACCATTTTTATATAACAAAATAATTAGATCTATCCCTTCTTGATCTTGGTAGGCCATGGTCATTTGCAGAAAGTGATATATAAAAATCATGCACGTCGATGCACTAAGGTAAGGTAACTTCACCAGAGCATGTCATAAAGAGCGTTTACTAGAAGTTAAGATATACAATCATACATGCATAACTTTAGATACTTCCCTTAGTTGTGTGTTATCGTGACATGTTTAAAATGAAGAAATGTTCTTTCTTGTGCAATATTTTGATATATCTTTTACCACATACTATTGTCATGACGTGCTAATTTTAAAACACCAAATTATTTCAGTTATGATAATTTGATTATTCTCTGTTCAATTTAGAAGACATGATTACTTATCGAGTACTATATGTGTATAATATGATGTTGTATTAACAAGATTGCATTGTATACGTTAACAAAAATTATCTTCTGTTCATAGCCATGTCAATATATTTTCAACTTTTTATTATCATAAAACATTAAGGATTCAATGTGATAAAACAAACATAGCTGAACAGAACAATATTTATTGATTTATTGATTATAAATATCCGTGTCATAATAAAACAGCAAACACTAAGTGCAATGATTGATCAAATAAAAGCCTGCAACTCGTTCAAATTAAGTAAAACATATAAATTAATGAGTTATAAGTGAAACAAATATGTTATAAAACAAGAGTTGTCATGCAAAAGTGACGAATATTCCCGAAAAGGTTTCCAAATTTTATGAAAAGAAAAGAAAAGAGAATTAAAGTTACAAATTACTAATATTGTTCTGGGAAACGAAGTGTAATTATTAGAGAACTAACTACCTTGCCTTTGGAGGTAGGGACGTGTGTCTTTGACGTGACACGTCACCTTGATATGAGATACATTTATGCCAAATTATTTTAGAATCTTTAAATGTATGACAAAGTTACAGTCCAGACACAAAGATGTACCTTTGAACTTTTTTGTGAGAATGAGTAACTTCAAACTATAACAGTGATCTTGGAGGTTATGACATATGACATATGTTAACATCATGACTCATCGTCTTGATGTGGTTGACATTTGTTTTAAGTTATTTTAAGATACCTCAATACATGACAAAGTTACAGTCCGGACCTAAATTTGTGCGCCTTAAAACTATAATTTGCGAATGTGAATTTTCAAACTGTAAGTATGACCTTGACCTTTTGAGGTATGGACGTAATTTCATTTCGCGACACATCTTGATGTGTTAGATATTTGTACTAAGTTATTTTAAAATCCCTTCATGCATGACAAAGGCACAGTCCAGACGCGAAAGTGGATACCTTAAAACACTTATTGTGAGGATGTCAATATTCAAACTCAAAGTGTGACCTTGACCTTAAGCTAGGCACGTGATTCTTGGATGCGACACATCGTCCAAGTGTGGTAGACACTTGTCCCAAGATTTTTTAAATGCATGCATGACAAAGTTACAGTCCGGATACGAATCTTGTGTGAGTGCAAAAAGACGGACACATAGACGGAAGGTGCGATTTAAGTATGCCGCCCTTCGGGGGAACATTAAAGCTATAAAATCAATTTTATTAGTTTGGTTAATTTCTTTTGAATATCTACCAAATTGAATATAATACATGTATAATCGTAAGCAGATCGTCGAGATACATTTGCAATTCATCCACGTTTAAGACTTCTTCAAACATATATATTATTAATAAACAAACTTTACATATTTCAAGAAAAACAAATAAATTATTGTCATAAGATAATTACATTAAATAAAATATTACCACATAGCTGTACAATATGTAACATTTTAAAAGAAAAATGTTTTAATTTTTCCACTGCAAATAAATATATATATGATAAAATCAATTCTTATCTAAACTTTATGATTTGATAACAGTTTATGTAAATGTTCAGTCAACCATTAATCACTGACACTGACCAATAAAAAGTGGTCACAGAGAAGTAAATTCTAAAATATTTTGATAAAAACACAAATTTATCCTCAATCAATGATTCAAGACAATTTTTTTATTAACAGTGCGTTCCCAATTACTACTTATATGTAGTTTGATTATCTATATATCTGTATTTTATGACACTTTAAAATAATAAAAGTCATGTTTACTCCAGATTAACATCCACACTGTATGTCATCTTGGTATGCTAAAATTGTTCATCAGATGGAGTGGTCCTTTTACCTCTTTTTATATGCAGTATTTAAGGTTGTTTCTTCAATAGAGCTGTAAATAGAAATAATACAGTCAAATGAAACCTCAGTGCGTACACGAAAAGAAATCTTAAACAGAGCTGTAAATAGAAATAATGCAGTTAAATGTAATATTAAATACTCTGTCGAAAATGAACCCCAACTAAAGCTGTAAATTGCAACATTAAATAAAACTGTAAATGAAAATATAAAACAGACACATGTTATACTAGAGACTCTGCGAGTGCACGCAATGAAATCTTTATAGAGCTGTAAATAAAAATAACACAATAAAATAATATATGGTTCTGCATGCAAAGCAAATAGAATTAAAATATATTTAAACAAACTTATAAACAATGAACAAAAAGGATTTATAAAGGGAAGATTTACAGGAGAAAATGTTAGACTGTTTTATAATATCATGCAATATACAAAAGATAATAACATTTCTGGGCTTTTACTCCTTATCGATATCGAAAAGACTATTGATTCTTTGTCACGGGTTTTTGTAGACAAAACGTTGTCATTTTTTTTAATTTTGGAGAGGACATCAAAAGATAGTTTAACATTTTCTATAAAGATAGGATTTCAGCAATATTTTTATCAAAGTTTTTTTTTGCATTCAGTGGGAATTAAAATGAATGTGATAGAACATAAGTTATCTCAATTCGCAGATGATACTTCAATTATTCTAGATGGTTCGGCCTCTTTTTCATGAAACTCTAGACACTTTGTCCACTTTTACTTTTATTTCAGGTTTGAAAGTAAATTTTGACAAAACATAAGTCGTCCGGATTGGAAAAAAATAAGTGCAAATAGTATAAACACAAAATGGAAATTATCTTGGAATCAGCAATTTTTTGACATGCATGGCTTAAAGTTCCATGTAGATTTGTCAAATACTGTCTCAGATTTTAAAAAAATGAAAAGGTTCACAGCCGATGCATAATATATTAAAATCAAACAACTGTACAGCTGTTTGTAAACCTAAATGGGAACAAAAACTTAATACTAAATTTGAAGATAAAGAATGGAACATTTTTTTTTACTTATATTTGACACCACTAAAACACGAATTTACAATGGTCTAAATACAGAATACTTGCCACAAACGAACTTTTGTAAAAGATACAATACAAAGATAATCCAAACTGCAGTTTTTGTAACAAAAATGCTGAAAGCTTAGAACACCTGTTTTGGGACTGTTAAGTTCTTTTGGATATGATTCATGATCTTTTTGAAAATTCTCATTTGCATTTCACAAGATTACAATTTCTTTTAGGCATACAAAATGCAGATCACGAAACAAATTGTTTGCTTTTATTTGTAAAGAAGTACATATATTATTGTAAAATGAATTTTAAAAGACCGTCTATAGAGGTTGCTAAGCATTACATTAATTATCATTTCCTAATCGAGAGAGAAGCACACAAAAATAATTAACAAGGAAGATATTTTTGACAAACATTGGGAAGGTTTTAAATATATTTTCATTTCTTCATTTCATAATTAGTATGTTTGTGTGGACATTTTATTATTGACTATTTATTAATTTTTAAATACAATATGACTAGGAGCAGTTTTCATTCATTATACCACAAGCTACAAAACTATATATAGAAATGTTTACAGAGATTTAACATTAAGCACAGGCCTCTTTTATTTATTTTTTTGTTTGTTTGTTCGTTTTATACACGTATTCATTTGTATATGTGTGTCTTTGCATGTATGTTTATATTTATCGTTTATCTCTGTTCAAACTGTACAAATTTACGGGGCTACCCTATAAAACAGCACGCCTCCAGATTCATGCTTATTTTTATGAATGTTTTGAAAATGTGTTTGAATGTGTAATATTGTGAAGTAACCAAATAAAGCAATTTACACATTATAAATGGCACTTATAAACCTCTAAACTTACCAAAAGGTGATCAAAATATGCATACATTGCCATTAATGCGTTAGTAACGCAGTAGAAATATAGTTGTGAATACTAAAAGTCAGTCATTAATCGCACATTTTATGTAGAATACTATTTGAATCTTGAAACGTTTCCTTTTCCTTACGTCTTAGTACATTTTTCTCAAGTTTGATTTTAATAAACTTGAGAAAAATGTAATTAAAATGTCTACAATTATCAGGCATCATAAAAAGCATACATTTCTTTACCTAACTCTTCCATTTTTCAATCTTTAAAATACTTATTTCATCATCAGATAATTTCTGATATTACAGGTCAAATAAAGTTGGTTCTTTCTTAAAGAAAACTGCCAGTTTTTTTGTGTGTTTTAATGACATTCTTTATTCATATTGTAACCACATATAGTGTGTAGGATTGTAAACAAAATATATTTACTTAGTGTGGTTAAAACGTGTTTATTTTATATTTACAAAGATAGTGGTTAGCAATTATCCATATTTTCTTATATCAATTTAAGCCTAGTATTACATGTATCTTAATTGCTTACAGATAGTATAATTTATGATATAATAACGTTATTGTAATCTGGGGTACGGATGAAAATGCAATGAAGTGATTATGATACATGTATATTATGTAAAGGTATCAAGGCAGAATTTAAATGATAACTTTTTTTTCTTATACCAAGGCAAATTCTGCCCTGTATACATTTTAAAAGAAATGTTGCTTTAATCCCAGATTAAAAAGGCAGGTTCCCTTTAATCCCCCTTTAAACAAGTGTGTGCCGTGTTATTGGTTCTTACTTTCATTCTTGCATATTTTGCTTACAAGTCTCGATAATTGTGGTTACAATTTTGGTCAAAGGAATGCCAACATGTATACATGAACATTCCAGGTATAACCAGCATGTAAATGATTGTACAAAGTATGTACATAATACATGTGTAATAAAATATATGTATAGCATGATATAATATACACTGTGTTTTATAGCATCATGCGATTCATGCTACAATTGTGAACATTTTCATGTTCATAAATTCTACTACTATTGTCAAGTGTACAAATAAAGTGTTTTGGGCTAGTTTTAAACCTATACAAAAATAAAATGTCTCCATCAAAAGTAACAGTGTCTAAATATGATAAATAATGTTTGATTAACTCATTAGATGATTCAAAGTTTATACGAAAAGCAGCATATGATTTATGAAAATGTTTCATAATTTATTGCTTTTAAGTTTAAGTATATTTTGCAGGCAAACTAAGTTATATTTACACATTATATTTATATTGATTTCTGTTGATTAAAGCTACTTGAAAAATCACAAGACAGTCCCATTTGACATATAGCAAGACATATGAGTATATCATTATGTCAACATCATTTTCATTCTCCTTATTGTTTTATATGTTTATTATGTGAGTTAAAATACCAAATGCTTGTACAGCAATAAAAGTGTAATTCAAAATTGAATATGTGATGGAAACGTTTAATGTACGAGGGTTGATCAACATATTCTTGGACACTATTAATAACTTAATAATTAATCAAGATATTATAAAGAATTTTCGCTATTTAGGAGAAGAATTTAGAGCAATTACGAATATATTGAGATTTTTAATTTTTTTCTCATTTTGTACATTATATTTATCGCCATAGCAACCCTATGCCGTACAAACGCCGCAGCTTAAAAAAGTTATAACTTACAATTTTAAAATACTAAAAAAATGTCCTTATTTTGGCGCGCTTCTTTATAATACGAAAATGACGTCAACGTTGTTTCAAAACGTTTATAGAACATTTAAAAAAAACAAGCGTCGCTACGATTAATATTGTTTATTAGAGATGTCAATGGAGACAGGGGTGTGTACGCCAGAGAGAAGCGCGACGTTGTTGGAGCAGAGGGCAGTAATTAAGTTTTGTGTAAATCTTGGTATGACGCCACAGCAGACTAAAAAAAACATGGAAATTGCATCTGGAACGAAAAATGTGTCTCGTTCTTTAGTTTACAAGTGGCACAAACGCTTCCGTGACGGTAGAGAAGAACTTCAGGATGAAAAGAGATGCGGTAGACCAACCGAAACTTGTGGCGATACGAACGTTTTGAGAGTGAAATCGGCAGTCAACGAGGATAGAAGGAGAACAATTCGAGAAAAGAGCGATTTGCTGTGTTTAAGTTATGGATCTGTTCAGAAGATAATGACTGTAGACCTAGCTATGCGACGATTGAGTGCGAGATGGGCACCGCGTTTATTAACAGCGGACGAGATGGCAACAAGAGTTGCTCACAGCCAGCGGTTCCTGAAACGGTACAGACGGCAAGGACAGAAATTCCTTGATAGAATTATAACGACTGACGAAACTTGACTATATTATTAACGAAGCAACAGAGTAGCCAGTGGAAGAACACAGATTCCCCGCCGCCGAAGAAAGCTCGTGCCAGTAGATCGATGGGCAAACACATGTGTACTGTGTTTTTCGACAGCCAAGGTATTCTGCTGTGCCATGCTGTACCTTTAGGAGTGACGGTCAATGCAAATTATTACTCAAAGGTAAGAACAAAAACTAAATAAATCTATAAAATATAACATAATTATAATAATATAAATATTATATACAGTATGAATAATAAATAAAGAAACATAAAAGTAGTAATACAAATCACGCAACATTTGTGCAAACAATTGGTGTTTTTGCTATTTCAGGTTATCTGCCGGAACCTGCTTATGGCGATACGGAAAAAACGCCCAGATGTTTACGCGGACTTGGAAAATATAATTCTTCACCAAGATAATGCTCCAGCCCATCGAGCCGTGGAGACCCAGACCACAATCACTATCACGCTAGGGGCTGAGGTCTTGGAACATCCGCCTTACTCTCCGGATCTTGCCCCTTGCGACTTTGCGTTGTTTCCAAAATTGAAGGCAGAGTTAAAGGGACACAAGTTTACCGGGTTCCATGATTTACAGTCCAGGGCATTGTCAGTGTTGCGTTCATTTGATAATTCATTTTATAAGAACATTTTCAGTCAGTGGGTGCACAGACATGAACGATGTGTAGAAGTTGGGGGTGAGTTTTTTGAGAAGATGTAACGCCGACGTCACGACGTAACGTAAGTTGCGTATGAGCTGCGGCGATCAGCTATACATGTATGTTTAAAAACTGTTATTTTTGATAAAATATACTGATTATTCACCTGAAACTTACACATCAAATTGATAAATCATTGAATAAATGTCAAATATTATCATATTTATTTTTCTTCCCCGAAAATATAATTTACGGAGTGTGTCCACGAATATATTGATCAACCCTCGTATAGTAAAGTTTGGACTGTAACGTAATATCTTAAACGTATCACGATACGTGTATAATGATAGTATTAAAACAGGTTATATTGTAATTTTTAAATTACCTGAGCCGTATAAACAGTAATTTATTGTTCAGTATAAACAGGTGCAAAATGACCGATCCATTAAGACATGGTTATATTGTTCAAAATAAACGGTTGTAAATTGCCTGAGCCATTAAAACCGGGTTATATTGTTCAGAATAAACGGTTGTAAATTGCCTTAGCCATTAAGACAGGGTTACATTGTTCAGAATAAATGATTGTAGATAGTCTGAGCCATTACGACAGGGTTATAGTTCATAGTTATATTGTTCAGAATAAACGGTTGTAAATTACCTGAGCCATTCAGACAGGGTTACATTGTTCAGTATAAGCGGTTGTAAATTGTTTGAGCCATTAAGACAGGGTTACAGTGTTCAGTATAAACGGTTGTAAATTTTCTGAGCAATTAAGATAGGGTAATATTGTCCAGTATTAACGGTTGTAAATTAACTGAGCAATTAAGTCAGGGCTATATTTTTCAGTATTAAGCAGTTAAATGTAGTTCTAAGATTCTGCGAATATACGCAAAGAAATCTTAGAGCTGTTAATAGAAATAATACAGTCAAATGTAAACTATAATCTCAGTGAGAACACGCAAAGAAACTTTAATAGAGCTGTAAATAGAAATAATACAGTCAAATGCAATACTAAATACTCTGTTGGTATTGTTCAGAATAAAAGGTGAGTGTGTAAATTACCTGAGCCATTAAGACAGGATGATATTGTTCGAAATAAATTATTGTAAATTGCCTGTGCCATTAAGACATTAAGGGGTACATTGTTCAGAATAAGCGGTTGTAAATTATATGAGCCGTTAAGACAGGGTTCTATTGTGCAGTATAAAAGCTTGAAAATTATCTGAGCTATTAAGACAGGGTTACATTGTTCAGAATACACGGTAGTAAATTACCTGCCACAGGTTTATAATGCAATCAACCATATAATGAACAACCAAACACGAGTACAAAGGCTGCAAAGCGTCATTTTAGGAATTTATACAATTTCACATCGGCTTTCTTTTATAAATAAATGAATAATTGAAGAAATGATGCTTTGCGATCAGTCCCGATTTGACTTTAGTATCTTTGATATCTTTCATAACGATAATTGTTATCATTATTATTTTGTTAATTCAATGCTGCTGAAATTCATGAACATGATAATGATAAAATTGATTCTTTCAAATCAATGGTATGATATATCGTCATCACGCACCTGCTGAGTGCCCCTAGTAGCAACTCTAGGTAAAATATATAGCGGATATTAAATGAGCGTAGGTTTGATACTTAATGTATTGAACGAATTGAATGAAATCATACTAAAATAGATACTACCCTCTTGCGAACATGTTATTGTTTTATTCATTAAGTTTAATAAATTAAATTAAATTTACACTAATATGATATTCAATTTGTCTTGTAAGAGAGACAATTTCCATTGAATCGCCTACAGTGTAATGCTAACAATAGCGCGCTTTTACGCCATGAAGCAAATGACGTCACTATACGTAGATATAACACTAGTCTGGTTTCCTGTGCCGTTGTTAATGTTAATTCTCTTTTAGGGATCAATATATAATGAAGCATATCTTCATATCAGTCCTATTGGCATCATTAAAAAAGACGTAGTATCCAAATATTGGTATAAATATTTCCTTATAAAACTTTTTCAATTATAGTTTTAAACAAATGCCTTTATATTATATAAATACACGAAATATTGAACAGACAAAAATTGAAAGGTAGTAAACTTCATTAACGCATGGTAATTGAATTGTAATGGAATAAATACCGTAGATGTTGGTCTTCCTGAGTTTTCAAATGAAACACCACGATGCTCACGTGGTCCATTTGCACGTGGAGTGTCATCTGTGTTTATTCTCCTCACTGATTTGGCAACATATTTAAGTCTTTTTCCAAGTTGACGGCCCAATGTTCCTATTAAGATAAGATCATATCAATATCCTGATTTTTTTTTTTTGTTAAATCTTAAGTTAATATTTATTTTGACATAATGAAAACATCATGTCATATCTGAGCTTGAAAATGATTTTTCAGTTATGTTTTTAACCAGTGCAATAACTGAGCAAATTAGTTAATTTTTTTTCTCCTACAATGTTTAATATTGTGAATGTTTATAATTAGAATTAGAGTTATACTCTTTTGTTTAATAGAAGAGGATATAATAGACTAGACAGAATAGAAAATATTAGACTAGAATGGAATAAAACGCAGTGAATTCTCTTCAAACATGCACAAATTGCTTGTTATTAAATCAAAGCATTACTGGATAATGTACCGGTTCTTTTGAGAAACAAAACCAAAACTGTTAACAAGTCCAACCAGTTATCGCGTTGTTATTGCCAGTCCACAATATAATACAAAAAAACAACAGAATAAAATCATGTTTTTACCGTGTGATCCTATTCGGTCATAATCCTCTCTATTTTCATTTGAAGGTCGTCTTCTGTCTTCATTACTACTGCAATGGTAGGCAAAGAGGATATTGAATGAGTTTAGGTTAAGAAATGATTTTTCTTGATCCAGTATTTTATTCAACAACATCAATAAATTGAGCTTTAAATATACATGTACATAGATAAAATAACATTTGTTGCTCTGTCGGTGAAATATATATCGGTCTTGCATGCCAAAGAAACAGATATACATTATGTCAAATGTTTTTATTACTTCTGCACATTTGTTTGATTTCGTACATAAACGTTAATTCCTTTATGAATATTTGTTATAATACAAAATAAGACGCTCAAATAACCGATACTATTTCCTTCAAGTCATACATTGAAATTTAATAGCTTTTAAAAAGCAAAACAGACAGTTAATTACTCATGAAAGTATTACCTAGATGACGGATTTATATCCTGTAATCTTGATGCAAGCTTTGATCGCCCTGCTCCTAGGTTAAACCTCCTTCGCCTTACTGTTGGGAGAGGAATGTTATTATCGTTATCCTTCGCGCTACTCCCCTCTTTTTGCGATTCCAATCTCAAGTCTTGAGCCTTTGCATGCTTCCACTTAGTTGCCTGGATACCATCTGTTATAATTCTGGCGCTTTTTGATAAAGCTTGTCTTGATCTTCCAAAATCATTTATTGTTTCATTCAAACGCCGTGAAGTTGCACTTAAACCATTTTTTGTTACAGTCAAGCGATACCTGTTTTCAAAAGGCACGAATAATCATTTAATAATTGCAACATTCAAACGAATGTCGTTAAGTTGCACTTAAACCATTTTTGTACAGTAAAACTATATCTGTATTCAAGAGGCACGAATTCAAACATTCAAACGAATATCTTTTTAAGCTATGTTTCCAATGAAATTCGATGCATTAATATGACAAGATGTCAGATCGATCAAATTTATAATAAAGTAAGTAGACCATCTCTTGAATAGCCCAATCTTGCTATGATCATTTGAAAATAATATAATTGTGTTAAAATATCAAACCGTAAATAAAATAAAATAAAATAATAATCACCCATTTCTTCACTTCTCATTAAGATCTGAATAACGTTTTTCACAATCAATTTCTGTAAAACAAAAGGAGCCGCCAGAAATCGTTTGTTCTCAAATGAATGGTTGATCAAAAAGCAACCAAATGAAAACCTCGAAAGCAAGATATATTTTTTATAAATGCAAAGTATTTTAACCTTGACCCAGTTTTCTGTAAAACCTGCAGTTCGTTCTGAATTTCTTTTTCAAACTCCTCGTCGTCCTCACTGTCATCAGAATAATCTGGTAGCGGTTCTGCAATCATTGTATCTATAATTCCTATTGCTTCTCTTGCATCAACATCTTCATTTTCTTCATTTGAAGATTGTTTAGACTTGTTACCGACTTTTCCAGAAAAATAACACAATATGTCAATTTTCTTCTAGCTGCAGTAAATGCGCACACGCACGCACTCACGCACACACACACACACACACACACACCCTTTGATTTGCAAGGTCTAATAACAAAGTTATTTTACACCCTTCTAAAGCTTACATCAATAAAATGTGCCCACGACAACAAAACAAACGTCAATGGAGTGTATGATTTAAATACAAAATGGATATTAAAAGAATCACCTGGGAAAGAGGGTTTTTCAGTTTTGTTACGGATACTAGATGCTGGAACGTTCCCCATCTATGTATTATCATTCCGATAAATTGAAGCAACAAGATTGCTAAGTAAAAAATAATAAAGAGTAGTCCCAATAAATCAACTTCAATGGCATTGTTAGTTGATGCACTCCCATCGGTATTTTCTTGGTTTTCCTCCAGGTAGTCAGGACTATCAGGATTGTCAGACGATCCCTGAAAAATTTTGGTTACAAATAAATGTCCATCTTATCATTTATTAAACAAATAAATAACACATAAAACATAATGAAATATAATAAAATTATAAATAAGACGGGTTGAAAAAAAAAATCATTGAAATAATTCGATTTTTTAAGAATTAAATAATCTGAGTAAAGTTTGTAAAACTGGTAACAATTCCTTTAGATATACTTAAAGCAGCACGCCTCCAGATTCATCCTACTTTTCATGAAAAGTTTGAAAATGCATTTAAAGGTAAAATATTGTGAAATGAACAAAGAAAGTACTTGACACATTACAATCGGCACTTAAGATCCACGTAAATTACCAAAAAGAGGTAAAAAATATTTTGGGTCATCTGGAGGCATGCAGCTTTGTTTCACATAATTCAAATGCACAAGTGTACTGGCATGCGAGCAGTTCCCGTACAAAAATCATAGTTACTTAAACATTATTTTTTATTACGATCACTCACCAAAATTTAAATGTTACACATCAATATTCGGCTCGTAACACAAATCATGGAAATTCCATCATGTTCTAAACATAGAATAACCCTTACTTATGAGGCCTCAAATGGGGTACCGAAATTATCCATTATTTTGTATGAAGAGAAGTAGTTCCCGTACATAAAATCTAACCCATTGTAATTATATAATTTTATTATATCGGACCTATTTTTCATTTACAATTGTTGAACAGACCATTATCTAAGAGATAAATAGATGTAATTCAGGAAATAGAGCGTAGACTAAACGCGGGTATCTATTACCCGGTACCGTTACCCCAACGCATTCACATGCAATAGCATGCTTGTATGCATGATATTTTACGCATCAAAGCCATAAAATTATTTTATATAGTAATATTGGTCAAAATTCTGATAATTAAACAAGTTTTCATCACATTGCCTACTTATCTGTAAACAGGTGGTATTAGTGGAAAACCCTTTAACAAGCCTCACGTGTAAGTATTTTTGCGCATGCGCGCAAGGACGGAATCCCCCAGAGAAAACAAGGTCACGTTTTGACGACGCACAGGTGAAAGTGATTTAAAATGAGACTTTTTATACGTACTGCCGAACTGACACTTAGATTTTGTCTTGTTTATGTATCTGCTTAATTTGAAATGAATTTTTGAAGAATGCAAGTAAAAATCAAGCGTTTAAATGAAAAATACGGGTACTGCTTCTGTACGGGAACTGCTCGCATGCCAGTACATGTATATTTTCTTACAGAAATCTTCAACGATATGGTCGTCGGCCTTTCAAACTGAAACATGAAGTTGACGGCAATCCATAGTAAATTTATCATCGCCATACCAAGTGCAATATTGTTCCGTAAGTCTATCAAACTCTTTGCAGTGTTCTCTATCTCTTCTTTCTTAGGTTTAAGAGGTTTGAGATATCTTAAATAGAAATAAATGTTTCCAAAAGATCATTTAATGTCATTTAAAGAAATTTATAAAGTCATATAATAATACGCAAATGTATTTGTCTCTCTTATAAATAATAGGCAGAGGATTTTGCTGTAATGTCTTGTCGTGAATAAATTAGGAAAATAAACTAAAAAAACAAGAGGATCATGATGGCCCTGAATTGCTCACTAGAAACAATTGTTTTTCAGTGGTAGAAATAAGTCTTTAAATGAACTTGCCAAAAGGCAAGTCCAGCTCAACTAAAACTAACCCCTCTAGTCATAAGGTTTCACGACACTGTTTTATTTTCTTCATAATAAAAAAGAACCTTTCACAAATTACCAAAGTTAATTGTTACTGTACATCTTGCAAGTAAAGCATGTCAATCCTCGCTTTCTAATTTCCTTTTCCTACTGGATAGAGACTTTTTCATAAAAGACTATCTCAGAATCATACAAACAAAGTTTGGTGATCATCCATCCATCAATACGTTCAAAAGAAGAGGAAGTTAAAAGAAAATTCTATTTTTAGCTCTAGGTGCGCCTAAAAGGGGCCAATCAAATTAATGTGAGCAAATCTGATAGAAGAATACGTAAGAATGCTGCAGATAAAGTTTGATAATATTCTATCACTCAGTTTAGAAGAAGATGTCTAAAGTTGTTTTATTTTTTTGTTGTTGTTGTTTTTTTTTTTTTGTTTTTTTTTTTTCATTTTTAGCAAATTTGATAAAAGGCTACCTAAGAATGGTACAGACAAAGTTTGGTTATCCTCCAACAATAAGTTCAGTAGAAGTAGATGTGAAAAGGTTTATATACTTTTAGCTCTGTTGATCAATAAAAGGGAATATTGAAATGATATGAGCAATTTCAACAGCCACAAGGATGATACAAACCAAATTTGAATTGAATACGCCGAGCAGTTGTTATGGAGAAGATAAATGTTGACGCATGGAACGAAGCATCACGCTTTAATTCTTATAGCTTACCCTGAACCTTCGGTTCTGGTGAGCTAAAAACAATTCTTAAATTTTAATGAGGTACTTTAACAACAGATATCAAATATCTTAATAATATTTATCTCCCTAATAATACTTCTCTGTTTCTGATTCATTTAAAACAAGTCAGTACTATTTATAAAAGTCCAACGTGCAGAATATATCTTACTTGGTTATAAAACTTTCCCAGAAATTCAATTCCTCTGAGGCAAGTATCATGACTTTTCCGTTTCCAAGTTCCTTGCACTCTGCCCAAGCAGGATTAACCAGTTCATTACGCGTCTTTCTAACCCTATCGTATATTGTTTCTTCAGAGTCATCGTCAATATTCCTTTTGCTATCAGATATGTGTTCATGTTTTTTGGCATGCTGTGAGTGATGTGGTTGTTTTAATATACCCTTAAGTTTGACCTGTGCAAGTTCTTGTCTCTCAGTTTTTCCAGGTTCGTCATGATCAGTTGTATCGTCATCAAGAAAAACCGTTTCTGTCGGTGCAGGTTTTGGCTTATTATTTTGGTTAACAATTTCCTTTAAATGCTCATTCAATTCTTTAAGCAATTTGTTTGTCTCATGGAAACTTACATCCTCTTTCTTTGCATTTTGGCTCTCTGTAAATTTGCTCAGAATATCTTTAAATTCTTTTGTAGAAAATGTAGGAAAGAGTCTACCAAAAAATCCTCTTTCTTTCTTTTTCTTTTCTTTTTCCTCAGTTTGCCTTTTTTCTTCTTCTATTTCAGCTTGAGTTTTTTTCTTCGGTACTTCTCGAGTACCCCATGAGACATTATTCAAGTTGGTCAATGAATATATATTGAGAAGTAAGAAGCCTGTTGGTATCAGAAGAAAATAAAGAGCACCAAAAACGATGCATGACCATTCCTTTGGGTGCAACAGCGCTGAAAAGGTGAAGGCTATAACCAGAAAGCCTAAAAATATGACACTTGGATGAAATGGACTCTCTTGGGCAGCAGTAACTATTGTTCCAACTAATACAATCATCATTACAAATGCGTATAGTGCTGTGAGTATCTCTGCTACTCGGAGTTGTGTTTTTTCCTTCACATAAAAACACAAGATAAAATAGAATATCGCAGGGGCAAGAGCAATTACATATCCCCATATGACAGTGACTTTGAAGACAACCATGTTAGCGCCGGCAATCATCATTAAAACAGTTGCAGGACCAACAATTGTAGACAACAATAATGCACCCTGATACAGGATATACAGCATGCTGATATTTGAATTCACATAAACTGTATTTTTATAGTCAGCAAGTAGGTCGATGATGTTGAAAACGGTAGATGGCATCCATCTTCGACGTTGCTTAAAAAACTCATCAAAACCTTCAGGTGCGTATGTGAAAGCATCAGAACCAGCTGCATAGTCAACTCGATACCCCTGCTGTAGAAGAAGAGTACATAACCATCGATCCTCGCCTGAAAAAAAACAGAAACAGCGTAATTGCAAATGATTAAGCACAAAAGAATTAGTCTGGTTAACATTTTATCAAAACTGAACAGGTCGCCTTTTGGTTATTACGGTTGTATTTTTGTTTCAAGTCACAAATACACTGTTTAGATCATGCGAATGGTGAAAAACAGCTTGAGCTCCTACATGCATTATTTAAGACACGAGTTGGTACCGAAATAGAACCATAGACTTTCTGCAAGCTAGCCGGATAATTTTCTAATGTAAGTGAATCCTAAGTCTCTTCAAACTCATAGCGGTAGGATACCAGTGGATAGATATCAGCGACCTTAGCCATTTAGCTTTATGGGTACTTGTTAACTGTCCGTGTCCTGTCCTGTTTTGTTTGGGGTCTGCCTGGGCTCCTTGCCACTGATTCTAGTTGCTGGGTCGTATGGAGGTTGCGTTCATTGAACGCCGCCTTTCCTTGTTGATCTTGTTTATCATATTCTAGATTTAACACCGTTTCGTATTTCTGGTGAGTAAAAAGACTCGATAAACGCTATAAATAATGATGGCATACAACAGTATTGCTATGCCCGATGTTGTGTCTATCCGAATTTACATGTACCTTTCACTGTTTCATGAGCGTCTGGTGATCCACATCGACCGCTTCGTTATTATTTCCTTTTTAAGCATAATACTAATTGTCACAGTAAAATTATCGTTCATTTAACAGAATTGTATGTTTTACTATTGATAACAACCATTGATATCACGCAATTGTCCGTATATTTATGTAAAATCCAGTCCCAGGTATAGCACGACATCCCAGGTATAGCGCGACAAATCGGTTATAGTAAAATCGCAGTCGGAGATCGAGAGCTCGACGGGTGGTCAGTCAGATAATGGAGGTAAATTAACCTGAATGGGGTATATATTTACTTTATAAAGATAAATAAGGTTTAACCGGTCATTGATCCATAATAGAATACCTAATAATTGAATACTATAGATAGAGACCCCTTGACCAGATCGGGTCAAGAGTACTAAATTTTTACCTTCTTCTTAAGAAGACTATCAGATACTTGGAACTGGATATATGAATTATATCATTAAATGTATAAGTGAGATTTACATTTAATTGAACCAGAATTTGTTTATACTAAGTTGTTATAGGTATTTAAGAGAAAACTGAACTTGACCGAATCCGGTCAAGGTATAATGAACAATCTATATTTGTATATAAACTGTTTTAGTGTTTAATTGCAAGTGGTCTGTTTGACCAAATATTAAAATAGTGTAACTGGAACATTGTCTTCTTTTGTCCATTTATATATATAATTAGTCCCACTAACTACAACGTAATTGGAGTTCATGTTATTACCTTTTGAAATCAAAACATCCTGACAATTACCTGATTGATTGAAAAAGGGGCATAACAGTATATATTTAGTATGCTTTAAGAGCATCATATGATGCTTCTTTTCAAGTAGTTGTTATTCTCAAATTGCGTGTTTGAATTTATTGAAATTTTTCTTACAAAAAGAAAAATATAATATGTTAGTCCCTTACTTATCGATTATTTCATCATCATCATATGAGGACGTAAGTAAATCATTGAACATTGTAGAAAACGGGCAACGTATCGTTTTCTGTGCTAATGGTTAAACATAGCACATGTTTGAACTTTAAGATAATTATGACCAAAATTTTAAGATCGGCGTAAAACCATATAAACAAACATATTTTAAATACATATGCCGTGTTAACCGTAGCTATAACAACCTAAAGTTTTTGTAATTGTACTAATATGAAAGAGGCAAACCCTCAAAGCGAGTCGATTTACCGTGAAAAAGTATAAAATAAGTGTTCATTTTATTTTACATTTCCGTTTCAAAATTGTCATTCGGTATTTTTCACATTGCTTCCATTTATACTGGTTCCCTGTCCTATTATGATTCCCATATAAGTACGCAGGACACCAGTCTTCGTTTCCCTTTTCAACAATAATACCTCGGCTTTTATCGTTATCTTGTAATTCGAAAAGTTGCGATTCAGTCAATTCAGCACTTCGGACGAAAGTTTTCAAAAACATTACTATCTAGCAGGTACTCGTGTTACCGTAAAGCTCGCTTTGCGAGCAGGCCCTTCGGGGCAGCTCTTCGAGCTCGCTGATGAATAATTTATATAATAAAACAGAATGCAAGGTAAAAAACATTTTCTAGTTAATCATCTTATTCAATTGAAATCTACATTAACATAGTTATGTTTGGCAGTGATCTGTTTACTAGTAATAGTTATTTTGTATAAGCTTTCTTACACGTGTTAACTAAAGGGCTAAGAACTTCCGGTATTTTGAAAATAATGGCGCATTTTTTTGTGTGGTAAAAAATATATGTTTTTCATGAATTAACTGCTGTTTTTGTGAGGAAAATCTTGGATAATGTGTTGAAATGTGATATTTATTAACAAATACAACTGTGTATGGAAGATTTATAATGGATTAATAGCACGGTATACATTTATATACACAAATCAAAGCAGTGCCCATCCCACCCACTGACTAATGATCAATGTTTCTTTTGTGTGTAAAATAATTGAAGATTTCCATACAATAACTTTAAACAATATTTAACAATATATATATAATATATATATATATATATATATATATATATATATCTTCGAATGAATAGTACAACATCCGATGCCTGGAAAAGGTAAAGTAAAGCGAAAAAAAAAATCGTCTCAAACCAGGCAAGTGAAGATAATACACAAGATAATACACAAAAAAAGATACAAATTTAAACAAATAATCGAAACTGAAACGGAAACAGGACTTTTTGGCGAAAACTATTTTACTCCACTCAATTCTCCATTACATTCTGATATATCAGACTGCGATTCAGATTTTGACTCAAATCCTAGCAACATGTGTTCAAAAAAAGAATTAGAAGAAGTCATATCAAAATTAAAAGTTGATCTCATCCAGGACCTAAAAGCTGAATTTGAACTAATTGTTGAAACAAAAACACGAGCTCTAAGGGAAGAGGTATCCCAGCTACGTGACGAAGTAAAATTTCTTCGTGATTGTGTAAAAACTGCTAACGAAGCAAATGATGACCTTGAGCAGTACGGCCCAAGAATGAGGCTGGACATTTCCGGGATCCCTGGTGACACAGGAGATGCTTACGTAAACGTTGAAAGAAAGATCCTAGAGTACGCAAACAAGATTGACTTGAATCTAAATGAAAATGATATAGACAAAGTCCATCGGTTGGGAAAGTTGAGAAGTGACGTTACAGTTAACGGACGAGTTATCGTAAAATTTACGAACTCAAAAGCTCGACAGAGGCTCTACAATGCAAGGAAATCACTTCCGAGTGGCATATTCGTACAAGACTCTCTGACGAGAAGGAGAGAGCAGATAGGATACGAAGCCAGAAAACTTAAAAGAGAAGGCAAACTGTTGAAAACATGGGTTGCCGGTGCTAACATATATTGATCTATGAAAAAGGGTGGCCATGAAATAAAAGTTCACATCAAAAACATGGACTCCATTGAAAAATCAGAGCCGGTGAAGAACCAGGAATCTACACACAAACGTATCCGTAGATAATACAAAACTGTCATCTATACACGTGACTGTGTTTATTAACATTGTAATATCCTAATTGTTAACCTCAAATCAATCTATTTTTAGAAATCAGTATTACCGGTAAAATAAAAAAAAAAACTGTAAATACATGTAGACGTCTTACCTGTGCATTGTGTCATAATCATGTTATCCTATGCTTAAATCCAATTTGTTTTCTTTTCACCACACATGGATTTGATTGTAAAGGTTTTAAAATTAACACGTAAAATAATATTTACTGCACATGTTATCATAAAAGAACTACACAACGATGGCAGCGATATTCTGCTAAAATATATTGCTAGACCAACTCAAATTATCTTGTGTTTGTAGTTTTGCTTTACGTACTCAAATTAACTTTTACTTTATGTTAAAATGCCAGTGCCTTATGTAAAGATGCAAGTCAAAAAATGTATAACCGTATTACTTTTAATAGTTATTTAACGCATTTCCTCATAGATGCAGTAAAAAAGTACGTTAAGTTAACTATATATATGTATACATGACTGAAAAATAACAGGGCCGGATGTAATAGCTTCAGCCTTATTAGTATGGTTATTGAACTGGAAAATTCATAACAATTAAGACCGGTAACATTTAATGTGGACAGGCAAGTTTGTTTTTTTTAATACATATTGCGAGTTATGGATATATGTATTTTTGTATTGATTTTGTCTTGTCTTTTGTAACAGACAGACTGAAAGTTTAAATTATGTGTTTACATTTCTACTTTGTAATCTGTGTTATTTCTCCATCTTCAAGTTCAATCAAATAAAACTTATTATTGATATGTAAGACATGTAATCATAAATATTTAGACTAATTTAAGTAACTATTAACTGATAAATTAAAAGTAATTAAATAGAAAAGGCTTAAATATATTAATAAGTGATAAAATGAATTAGTTCAAATTTAATAGATAGAGCCTTTCTATTACGTCAGCGATTTGTATATAGAAAACGGAAAATATTTTTGTTTAAATATACTTAACATGGAAAAAGCTTAAACTGTCTTAGATAGGTCAACTATAAGCTTGTTTTGTTTCCGTCATTTTCTGAACAAAATGTAAACATTCTGTAAATAGTGGGTACACCTAATATCTGTAAGTTATTCTGAACTTGTATGATAAATACAGTTTTAAAAAGCTTTTCAAGATTACTGTCCCCTATTCCCTATATTGTCAAATATGTTCAACTTTGTTAACTTTTATTTTCTTTTGTTTTTGTTTATTATTATTATGATGATGTATAGTTTTTATGTTATTTCACCGCCAAACCCTGTTTACTTATATGTTAACTCAATGAACCCGTTTATGCTTGCCTTTTATGTACTTATGTTTTTTATAATACTGCACGTTTGTAACGTCATTTTTCATTGGATAATCGTGAC